AGCTGCATGCCTGAAGTTATTTCTCATCGTTTGGTCGATATAGGATGTGATACCACATTGTACAGGGATGTGGTGAAGTTTGTTACCTTCCAAAATAGCTAGGCCAGAGAATGTTGACGTCGAATCGGGTTCCACATGATCCTTACAACATGTCATACGATTTTATGCCACATGAACAGCCCTACTATCTTTCCCATCATACCTTTAAACTAGCATTGCGCAAGGTCAAAATGCTTGGGATATGGCCGTTCCATGTTTTTCGTGGTTGAGACCGTCCACTTCTTTTAAGAGATTGCGGTTCGGGCTACCAACGGCCGTAAATTATTTCAAAAAAAATTATTCCACCATTTGTTTTAACTTTCTGACTTTGGCTGTTCCACATTTTGATTTCCTTGGTCTGTCCACCTCTTTTAAAGGTTACGGCTCGGCCTAGCAGTGGCCGAAATTATTAACTTATTCTTTCTTTCGTTTTAACTTTCTGACTCTGGCCGTTCCTCATTTTTCACGGTTCTGACCGTCCACTTGTTTTAAAGATTACGGCCCGGCCCTATAACTACCGTAATTTGTCATTATTTTTATATCGGAAGAAACCTAGTGCTGGGACTGAATCTCCAAAAAATCCTCTTTTGAACCTCCCGCCAATCTCCTAAAATCCCTAATTTGTAGCGTAGTTAGGGATGACATTTTATTGTTTTTGGAATTCCGGTTTGCCTGTTTCCTACAGTATTTTCGAAAATAGGCCCTGTTGTTTGCTTTGTTTCTGAATAAAAAACTTGAGTTGATGGATTTTTCTCTTTTTTTTTTGGTTTTTGTAATATCCAAATGAAAAAAAACCCTTACTTTTTTGCAGGCTGCAACTCCCTCACAATCCACTACATTGTTATTACCAAAAACCGAACAATCTCAACCTCAAGCTCCACATCCCACAGTGGTACTATCAAAATCAGAACAAAAATCGCTCAGGATGGGCCAATCGTCGCTGAATGCACTCGACGGAGGACTTCTGACAGTAACAGCACAGGGAAATATCACTTCACCACCAAGCGGAAGTGAAGTGATCAAGAGGGATGTTAGTGTTAGGACAAGTTAGTTTTCAGGTTTTCTTTTTTATCCACCAAAATGCCTTATTCGATAAGAGGAAAATTATTATTTTTTGACTGAGAACCTAAATTCATTGGTATTTATAATTATCCTGATATTTCGATGAGCTGTAATTCGCACTCTCTCTGATTCTTCGAACGACGTAACTGTCAACTTCTTCGCTTGCA